AAAGAATAAACAAATCTAACTAGATAGCAAGACGTTCTCCGTTTTTCATGAAAACAATAGAACAGTTCTAAAATTGTGGAAGCAAATAAATCAAATTATTTACAGTGGCTAAGGATGGAGAGATTAATTCTTATTTCTGAAATTTCTGTAATATGTATGAGTGACTTGTACAATGAAAATATTTAAAATTATCATTAAACTGAGTTAATATGAGAAGAAATTCCATTTTATCATCATCCTAGGGCCGTGAATAAAAAAATGAATCCGCACTATTTTTATTTCTAAAAAAAGGTTGAGAATGTTCTTTTTAGAGTCAGATGACGATCATCTTTTTTTTTTTTTTTAATTTTTATTTATTTATTTGAGAGAGAGAGAGAGCACATGAGAGGGGGGAGGGTCAGAGGGAGAAGCAGACCCCCTGCCGAGCAGGGAGCCCGATGCAGGACTCGATCCAGGGACTCGATCCAGGGACTCCAGGATCATGACCTGAGCCGAAGGCAGTCGCTTAACCAACTGAGCCACCCAGGCGCCCCAAGATGACGATCCTCTTAAATGACATTACAATAGGCCTAAAATCTCCCAAATGCAAATGGTAGAGATTGGCAGATAAATCACGGAATGAGGGGAAAGAAAATTTTAGGCCTATTTTCAGAACTGTTTAAAAGGCCAAAATGTCGAGTTGTGTTGGGATTCAGGCTCCAGGTTTAAGAGGGTCTCACACAAAGAACATGAAGAATAAACACCAGATATTTGTGAGTGTATCATGTGCAAAAGCACTGGGGTTCAAAGGTCCGTGTTACCAGAAGCTCAGGATCGATGCCTGCTAAGAGCAATCCTCCCCTGCCCAGTACTGTGAACCAATAAGACACAACTGTATAGCCAGCTTCCTTGTCAACCGCAACCTGGGAAGTCACTCCAACTCTTTCCCACATCGGATTAGCTGCACCCCCAGGGAGCCTCCATCTTGTCACAGCAGAGTGCCTGCATCTTCATTCCCATGCCTGTACCTTCCTTCACTCTCTGGGTATTTAGTGGTCCCCTTGCAGGGCTTTGTGGGGTGCACCCCCTTGCAATTCCCCTCCATCATGGAGCCTGAGTGATGGTTCTAAAATGCCAACCTGGGGTGTCTGGCTGGCTCAGTCAGTAGAGCATGCAACTCTTGATCTCAGGGCTGTGAGTTCAAGTCCCACCTTGGGCGTAGAGATTACCTAAAAAAAAAAAAATTTTTTTTTAAATCTTTAAAATTGTTCACTGTATGCTTTAAGTCCTTTGGTGATTGTCTATCATGTCCTGGCCTCTTTCACACAAACCCTTCCACCTTGAGTTAACCTATTTTTAGCCTCCCCCAGTCTAGAACATTCTCCCCTCTTTATTCTAGCTAACAACTCCAGCAAGTCTTTCAACACCTGGGTCTAGTCCTTTCCTCTCTCTGCAAGTCTTCAAAGGCTTCCCATTCTGATTGCAAAGCCGTCCTCTGCTCCCAAATCATCCCCTGCAGGTTCCTACCATGGCATGAGCCACACCGTATTGCCATTGTCCATTCATATATCCAATCAATAGGCCACCAGGCACAAGATACCTGAAGGCAGGTGCCCTGCCATACTCAGCCTTGCTTCTCCAGGGCCTAAACCATTCTTGCACATGGCCCTTGGCACAGTTCTAAGCAGTTTATAAATATTAATTCATACACTCTTCATAGTATCACACGGTTATTAGAAGAACATATAAACATTTGTTCAACAAATGCATATTGAGTGTCTAGCAGGTGCCAGATACGATTTTTGGCACTGGGAATTCAGAAGTGAACAAGACACACAAACTTGTGATCTCCATGAGTTTATCTGTTGAGGCAAATGTACGATAAACAGATAAACAGGTATATAATATGTTGTGGGGCAGCGAGAGGAGGTAAAAAGAAAAATAAAGCCAGACAAGGAGATGAAACATGACAAAGATGTCATTTTAGCCAGGATGGTCGGGCAAGGCAATCTGAGGAGTAAAGGGAGAGAGGGAGCCATGTGGATATGTCGGGGTGGAAGGAGGGTATGCATGGAAGGGGGGCATGCAGAGGAAACAGCAAGTGCAAAGGCCCTGAGACACAAACAAGCTCTGCTGTCCAGGGCAGTGGGGAGGACAGTGTGCTGGAATGCAGGCTGTGGGGTGGAAAGTTGTAGGTGAAGAGGTGTGCAAGGCAGGGGGTTAGCTCAGATACACCTTTTCAGTCTATCCTGAGGCCTTTGGGGTTTATTCACTGGTAGGTATCAAGCCTGGTGGGACACGATCGTACTTATCTTTTAAAGATTTGGTCTGGCTAGGACACCTAGGTGGTGCTGTCAGTTGAGCATCTGACTCTTGGTTTTGGCTCAGGTCCTGATCTCATGGTTTTGAGATCGAACCTCATGTTGGGCTCTGCACTCAGTGTGGAGTCCGCTTGAGATTCTCTCTCCCTTTCCCGCTCATGCTCTCTCTCAAATAAATATTTTATTAATATTTTAATATTTAAAATATTAGATATTTAAAAATCTAATATTTTAAATATTAAAAAAAAATAAAGTTTCACTCTGGCAGCTGTGTGGAGAATATGGACTGCGGGGGAAGCAGTAAGTGTGCAAGGAGGTAGACCAGCAAAGAGGTAAATGCTGTGGTCCAGGCAGTGATGATGGTGACCCCAGGTCCCCACCATGCAGGGAAGCTGTCAGACTCTGGATGCATTTTGCAAGCTGAGCAGACAGGCCCTGCTGATGCTCGACTATAGAGCATGTAGAGAGAGGAGCCGTGGATGCCTCCAAGGTTTTTGGCCAAATGGTGGGCTGGCCGTGCCATTTGCTGAGATGGGAATGACTGGGGGAGGAATGGTTTAGGGGGAAGGTTGGCGACGAAGCCTTCTGTTTGAGTTTGAGTTGCTGCCAGGATTCAGTTTTGTCTTCTCTGAAATGGGGATAATGTTTGTTTTATACACTCGATGAGAATCAAATGTGATCATTTTCTCTTGATATTACACAGATGTCAGGTTTATTTTTATTCACACAGAAGCTAAGGGTAGAGTTCCCTTTAAAAGAACACAAACAAACTACCTCTTACTGGCTAGATATTGCTGCCCTCATATAATTGGCTCTCATATCAAGAAATGATGTGGGTAACAGACGCCTCTCCATATTTATTTAACATTTATCTAGAGCTTACTATGTGCCAGACGCTATTCTAAGGACTTTATAAAAATAACCCCTATAGTCCTCCGTTATTACCCTGACTTAACAGATAGAACCGTCGCCCAAAAAGGGGAAGTAATTTGCTTAAGGTCCCATGGCTAGTAAATGGCAGAGCCCAGAGTAAACCCCAGGTGCTCTGGCTCTCTTCCACCCGCAAAGCCAAGCGCCACCTCCCCTGCTCCAGATGAGCCACTGCCAAGGCTGACATATGACCTGGCCTCTTGTGTAGCAGGATGGTGCCTCGTGTCGGACACCATTGCCTGCACCCCTTTGCCCCTGTAGGCGGTCCTGCCTCGGTCCTTACAAAACCTCAGCTCAAAAGAAGCCTGTCAGTACCGCCGGCAATACTCCTTTTGTCTCAGACCTTCCCAGGCCGCTGGCAGCCACTCAGAGCACTCAGTGTCCTCTGTGCCTTTCTTCTAACACCCTGAGGTCAGCCACCTCCCCCCATTGCAACACACGAGCCTCTTCGGTATCCTGCTCTCTCCAGGCGCCCGCCTCATTGCCAGTTGTTACAAGTTGTTTTAAATGCTTGCAAGTATCACGTTTTCCACTCCCGTGTTGAAGCCGACAACGTGCCACGTTGAGCTGAGGGAAGACAAGAGAGGAGCATGCCAGGACCCCTGACCTCTCATGAGACTTTGAGCTGGAAGCCAGGTTCTGTACCATTTCAGCTTCGGGTCCCGCATCCCGGCAGCAAGTGGGCACAAAGTGGACACTCGGTGAATATTCATTTATTTAGCAAATGTTTATTGAGGGCTTACTACCTACAGGCCAGTGTGATGGGTGCCGAGGATCTGCGCCCAGGCGGGTGCAGGGCGAGCTTCAGCCGGCCCCCCTCCCTCCAAAGGAGCAGAGGGCGGGAGGGGGCGTGAGCGGCGAAAGAAGCCAAAGCGAGAGGTCGAGTGACTGGCGTAGCTTCTGGCCAGGGCTTCCTCTCCGTCTGGAAACCCAGCTCGCCCAGACGTGGACACACATGCCGCAGCCGCTTCGGGAACCCCTTACCTAGCGTCTGCTCAGGCGCTGGCCTCGCGGGGAAAGCAGAGCGTGTTAAGACTGGGAGGAAAGCGGCTGGACCGAGCGAGCGCGGCGGGAGGGCGGGCGCAGGGCTGGAGCAAGCTCTCTTGGAGAGAGAACTCTCCAGATCACCGCCCAAACTCTGGAGCCTAGCCTGGATTCCAATGTCAGGCCCGTTGCTTACCTATCGTGTGACCTTGTGCAAGTCACTTACCCTTCCCGGGGCTCAACTGCATCATCAGTTAAATGGGTTGCACCAATAACCTTAAGGTTGGTGCAAGGATTAAGAGGGAACGTCTGGAAAGCTTCCCTAGTGTGGTTCTCCGCACGTAGGAAACGCTCCCGCTCCGCTGCTCACACCTCGCAGGGCTCCGCCCCCCTCGCCCCCCCGCCCCCGGACGCCCCCGGGCCGGGTTGCCCACCGCCCGCTTCCCAGGGATTGACGAGCCGCCCAGTAGGGCGCGCCCGGCCCGGGTGGATTTATTGGCCTGCTTGGGGCGGGGTTTGGGAAGAGGCGAGCAAGGGAAGGAGGTGAGGGCGAAGAAAGGGAAGGCGCGGAGGGGCCGGAGGCGCGCGGGGCGGGGCCGGGGAGGAGCCGGGCTGGGTTCCTGGGCCCCGCGCGGCGCGCACCCGGAGCCCGCGGCGGCGGGGGCGGGGGCGGCGCGCGGCGGCCAATGGCGCGCGGCGCTGCGGCGGGGGCGGTGCAGGAGCCCCCGGCTGCTGACAGCCAAACTCACCAACTCCGCCCTCGTCCCCGCGGGATCCCGGAGCCCGAGCCGGCCTGGGGCCGAGGCCGCCCGAGCCGCGCTGCGAGCGAACATGGCAGCAGAATGAGAAGGCTGGCGCCGGGTCGTGGCCGCCGGCGCCGCGCTGCAGCTCGAGATCCGCGCCCGGCGCCCTCCGAGCCGCGTGTTTAGCCGGCCTCCTGGTGGCCGCTGGATTATTTCATTCGGAGCCGAGGGCTGGCGAGCAAGGGGACCCCGCAGCCGCGCGGGTCCGTGCTCTGGCTGGGTGTAGAGGCTCGTGCGTGCGAGTCGCCGGCTGCGGAAACCACGCGGGAGAGAGCGGGTCCCGGGCTGCGGCGGCGCGGACGCGGGGATGAGCCGGCCATGGGGCGGCCTCGGCGGGGCTCGCGGAGCCGGCCGGCGCTGCGGCGGGGGCGCTGCCTGAGCCGGGGCTCCGCGGGGCTTCGGGGCCTCGGACGCCCCGGGGGGGTCCCTGCCACCGCCCCCGGGAGGGACGAGAGCCCCGCGTGGCGGACACTGCAGCAGACGCCGTACTGAGGCGCCCCGAGCCTGCTCCGCCTGCAGCTCGGTGCGCCCTCGGCACCCGGGCGCCTTGCCCGGGGCACGGGCGGCTGGCGCACCGCGGCGAGCCGGGTGCAGGACTGGCTAGAGGAGTGTGTGTGAGCGTGTTCGATTGGAGATCTGAGCTATAGCAGAACCCGGCGGACCAGAGCAGCCATGCTGCCCGGGGTGGGCGTGTTCGGCACCAGCCTCACGGCCCGTGTCATCATCCCGCTGCTGAAAGATGAGGGCTTCGCGGTGAAGGCGCTGTGGGGCCGCACGCAAGAGGAAGCCGAGGAGCTGGCCAAGGAGATGAGCGTCCCCTTCTACACCAGCCGCATTGACGAGGTGCTGCTGCATCAGGACGTGGACTTGGTGTGCATCAACCTGCCGCCGCCCCTCACCAGGCAGATCGCTGTCAAAACCCTGGGTGAGCGACCCCTCTCCCCTCCAGCCCCTTTCCTCCCCTGCTGCTTTTCTGCTCTCGCCCCCTCTGCATCCCAGAGGCTTACGAGGCATCTACGCCGGGCCCTGGGACCTGAGATGCCCCATGCTACTCGGAGCTCCCTCCTTCCTCCTCCCCGGCCTTCCCTGCCTCTGCGCTTCTTCTCTCCTCCCTTCTGGCACCACCTGGACGCGCCTTCCCACGTGCGTGGCGCGGAGGCTGGAGGAGGCGTGTGTGTTCCGGGGCTGGCGACGAGGCGGATCAGATGCTGAGGACCGGGCGCGAGCTGCTCTCAGGAAGAGAAAACTAAGTCCCCAGCTGTGCCTGTAGGGCCCCGAGTATGTGCGTGGGTGCGCGCCTGTGAGAGGCGAGTGCGCGCCCAGGAACGCGCGGATAAAGGGCCCCACACGTGGGGCGGGTTTTCCTGGGGGCGGTAGACTACCTGACGGGTAGCAGCCGCGGCGCCCTGCTAGGCCCGTTTGCTTCTTGCTGCTGTTAGTTTGGTGTGAGATTAGAACGTGACGTTCAGCTGGAATGATTGCGCCTTCGCCGTCGGCCGTGCATGGCGGGAGTGGTTGGATGGGGGTGGGGGATGCCCTGGGACGTCTTCCAGGGGGTTCTGGGTTAGTAACCAACCGGTTTGGCAAAACCAGGGGGTTTGAACTGTCGAGTGTGGCCGCTCGGGAATTGTCTTCTGCGTGGGTTTGAAATAATAGATGTTAAATTTCTCGGGGATGGGCGCAGTAGTTCCGGAGGCATGGGTGCTTTGTGTGGGAAAAGGCCCAACGCAACCAGTTTCACATGGGAGCATGCTGTAGTCCCTCCTTAACAACCGTCAGGAAAGTTCCCAGGCCTGATGTTGACAAGCAGGTTGGGAATGAGCTCACCGTCCCTCGCCATCCGGTCCCCCCACCTAACGCAAGCGGTCTGAACAATCCCAGAGCGCAGAGCATCGGCGTCCCTGCCATGCCCAGTGGAAAAAGGAGCGCATAGTTTGTCCATCAGCAGTTCTCGCACGTACCTAAGACAGTCCCAGGAATACTGCTCACTCCTTACTCTCCCAGGCAATGTAACACCCACCCTTGAAAGTTGGAATTCTTATTGATGAGGAAAGAGACAAATCTTATGGCACAGGACGCGACATTAAGAGTATAGGGCAAGAGCAGGTCCAGTACTCAGAAGCCAATCAATGGTAATATATGTCATTTTGGAAGCCATGTTTTATTTTTTAAAACTGGCCTGAATTTAGGGTAGGTGAAATGGACGTATATGTTAATTCTATCTTCAGAGACCTAAGACCAGAAGGTACAACTCTTTCTTCCTAGAAAACCATTTTTTATCAGCCCATTCTGCTCTTGACTCCGAGAAGGAGAAGGGAGAGAAGGGACATCTGATAGAATTCCTAAGGAGGCTGCCCAAGGCTGTCCGTCTGTTTTCATGTTCATTTTATTAAGTTTCTGACATCTGTTGCTTATTTTCTTTGGCCTTGAATTGAATGTCATTGACTTTTCTGTTTGATGTAATCTATATACTGGGTTGCTCACTTTTGTGCTTACAGTGGATCTGTGTATATCAGGCAGGTTATAACCATCCAAATGGCATAAATCTGTTAGGTCACTTTGTATTCAACAGGTCTGTCCTGAACTCTGTTTCTATAGAGAGCCCATGACTGGTCATATCAGAAGGACCTTGTAACATTGCTTTTCCCCACTATGGCAGCCCAGTCCTGCACGTCAGCAGCCCTAAGGCCTATCTCCAGGAAAGTGGCCATTCCGGGAACAAGGATGTTCCTATTTTCGGACCATCTCTTGTACTTTAGCCAAGAAAGCATTTGGGGGCTCTGGGTTGGAGAGAAGTGGTACAAATTACACATTTCTGGATACTTATTTTCAAAAATTCCTATGATTTTTTTTTCCTTGACAAGATTAACATTTGAAGTTACCTCTTCAAAACCAGGCAAGAGTCTTCAGAAATAGACCTAGTTTAATACTCATGACTAAGGACTAGGGTTTTGTTTATATTTTTGTAGTAAGTCTTGGGCTTTTTTTTTTTTTTTTAAACTCCTGGATTTTGCAGGTAATTTGAGATAGTTTGTGATTATAGAAAATGTGGGGGTCGTTGAATTTAGATGTGGCTGGACTTTTGTCTCATTCCCCAGTTCATCTTCACTGGAAAATGCCCAGAGGTCACTTTCAGATTGTATTTGTGAGTATGCAGCTGGGGAGTTGTCTTGGTGTGCTTTGCTGTCATGGTTAGAGGTCCAACACACACACACACACACACACAACACAGGAAGTGAAACACCCCTAACAGTTATAGAGCTGGTTTGACCGTTGGGGGTTTATAGATGCTAGTGTTTGCCTGGAACTGAAACGAGCCAGTCTTGACCGATCCCGGTGAAGTGCCCTTCTTTTGGCCAAGGCCTGGCCTTTGAGCTGCTTGCCCAGCGATGGTGGGTGGTCTGCGGCCCTCCATCCATACTCATGACGGGTCTCTGGTCTGTCAAGGGGAGGGGCTGGTCTGGGCACCATCAAGGAATGACACTCGGAGTCAATAGAATCATAGATATCCTCCTTGAATTTCTAAAAATTCCCTTGAAATCCCTCCTTTGGTGAACTAGGCATTCGTCTGTTGTAGAGACTTTCTTCAGCTCTTTTGTACAATTTTTACAGTGCCCACCACGTGCCAGGCAATGTGGCAGGTGCTGTGTATAAAACACTTCCCTTCACAGTGAGACTGGCCCCCTAGCCTAGCCGGTAGCCTCATTTTACAAATGAGGCAACCTGAAATTCAGAGGGCTGAGCGGCCTTGCTCAGGGATGGATAGCCCGGGATATGAACCCACCCATCTGCCTCCCCAGAGTCCTTTCTTCCTGTTCCATCCCCTAAAGTTGCTTCTTGGCCTCAGTTCCTTCTCTCAGATCGAAGGAGCTCAGATGAGATCGTTGGCGCTCTCCTTTGTTCCTGTTCACCCCACGCGTGGAATCTGTTCTCTCTTGAATCTGTTCCTTTTTCTCCATCATCGCTCCCTCCCTGGAAGGAACGAGGCCCCTACCTCGGTCTCTGAGCGAGCTTGCTTGCCTGCCCCTCCTCACCACTGCCTCTCTCCATCTTCCACACTGCTGCCAGGCTTTCCTTGGAGAACCTCAGACTCAATCGTGTCACTGTGCCCCCCTTTCGTCACTTCTAGGAAGAGTCCCAACTTCTTGGCACGACAGGCAAGGGCCGGCCTGTGACGAGCCTTGCCCAGTCTCCTGTCCTGCTGGCTGTTCTGGAACCCCAAGGGCTTCAGCTAACCCCAGAACTCCTGGTGTTTCCTCGAACGGACCCTGTTTGATTATAGGTCCGTGCCTCTGCCTTGTGTTTGTGATGGATGCCTGTCCACCCTGCAAGACTCGGCCCCGGGGTTGCCTCCTCCCTGAAGTCTCCCACTTTCTCAGTCTCGCCCCTCACATACCCGCCTGGGGTCTCAGCACCAAAGGCTGCTCCCATCTTTTCTTGAACCTATTTTAGTGCATTTGTGTAAAAGTTAAGTTTTATTTAGTTATTTTGAATAGGTCATATATATATCCACGTGGTGTAAATTGGAAATACTATAAAAGTGCACAGTGAAGGGTAAGTATCCACTAGTCCCTGTTCTTCAGCTAGAGGCAGTCCCAGGTTGTTTTTTTTTGTTTTGTTTTGTTTTGTTTTAATGTCTCCTTTTGAAGATTTTGCTAGGTATGTACTGGCAAATATGTGAGCATTTTTTAAATCTTTTTTACATAGTTGGTAACATCTCATATACACTGTCATATACCTTGCTTTTGTCACGCAGCAGTATTATCTTGAGAAGAATTTATGTATACACTCACACACACATCTGTATGTATATAAAAAAACAGCATGCGAAGGTATCCATGTTCTTAGTTTTTGCTGTATAGTATTTCATTGGACTAATCAAAATTTATTTAACCAGTTCCCTATTACTCTGCATTTAGGTTGTTTTCCCAGTCTTTTGCTTCTACAAACGTGTAATGAATAACCTAGAACCCATGTCCGTTTGCACACACGCCAGTCAGTGCGCTTGTAGGGTCAGTCTGTGAGCTGCCGGTCAAAAAGTATGTGCTCATTTCCTTTAACAAAGATGTTGCCAGATTAACCGGCCCCTGAAATGACACCGCTGTTTGTCGATTTCCTTGTGCGCCTCGCTCTGCCTTGACTGCCCCGTGCCTGAAGGCAGCCAGGATGGGCTCACTCACCTTAGTATTCAGAGCAGTACAGCTCCCAGCCAGCCTTTGGGGTCAGTCAAGACCTGTGTCTAATTTGTCCTCCCGCACCCAGACTACGCAATGAGCCACCCGCTGCCTCCCTAGGTCCACTCCTGTTCCTTATCCAGTCTGGTCTCTGAACAACGGGAGAGTGGCATACATACACATACATGGCGCTATGTCATTCCCTGCTCAGAGGCTCTCAGCGGTTCCCCTGGCACTTGGAGCAACATTCAGGGGTTTTTTTGGCCTAAACTGGCTCTGCCTAGCAATGCCTGTCACCTCTTTGGCGACCGTATACCCTCCCTGACCCTCCAGCTACTTGGGCCTTTTTACTCAAACACAGCAGCCTCTTTCCGGACTCTGGGCCTTTGCAAACTGGCTTTTCCCTCTGCCTGGAGGGTTCCCCCTCACTCCTCTGAAGGGCTAGCTCATTCTCACTTTCAAGTTTCAGCTCAGATGTTCTGTCAGGAGGGAGGCCTTTCTGGTCCTCGCCTCCCAACCAAAAGTTCCTTTTGCCCACTTCTCAATCATACCCCTGCAGCCTCTGCCTATTCTGGGTAGTGCTATCGCTGTTTGTGATGACCTCTTTCATTCGTTTGCTTGTCCTCTTGTTTGCTGTTTGTGTCCCGAACAGGAAAGAAAGTTCTTGGAGGTGGGGCCTGTGCCTGCTCTGCTCACCAGGGTGGCCTTATCTCCCCTGGACAGTGCCAAGTGCTGAGTCACCCAGTAGGCA